ATTTGGGGTCCCAAAACACCATCACCATAAACTTCTGAGCTGACCCCCTCTGTCTTAAATATAATCTGTCCAGCAGATCCCCTTAGACATTGTTTTGATTGAACTTGGCTTTCTAGATTGTATTGGTAAATCCAAAACACATTGCTGGTTATGATTTGTTCTGTGAAATCATCTTCATTAGCTTATATCTTGTATAAAAGACTAACAGAAACACTTTCTGACTTTCCCTCTAATTTATCAAACACTAACTTAACTATGTGTTAGGCATTCTAAACACTTAGTAATTTAAAACTCAAACATCATTTATATATGAAGAAATTAAACCAAGAAATTAAATAACAAGTCCAAGTTCACAGTAAGAACCAAGATTCAAAACCAGGGAGTATGGTGCCATAGCCAGACTCTTATCTAACTTTCAAGTTTACTTACACACAATGTGTTATTCTTTTAAGGAGTTGATCTGAAAAGCTGGCTTATATGAAGAAGAACGTGGCATCAGGATTGGAGGAAGATTTATTAACAATCTGCAATACTCAGATGACACAACTTTGCTTGCTGAATGGGAAGTGGACTTAAAATACTGATGAAGATCAAAGACCACAGCCTTCAGTACAGATCGCACCTAATGTAAAGCATACAAAAATCTTCACAACAGAACCAATAACATCATGATAAATGGAGAAGAGATTGAAGCTGTCACACTTCATTTTGCTTGGATCTACAATCAACACTCATGGAAGTAATAGTCAAGAAATCAAATGATGTGTTGCATTAGGCAAATCTGCTGCACAAGACTTCTTTAAAGTGCTCAAGAGCAAAGCTATCAGTTGAGGATTAAGATGCACATAACCCGAACCATGTATTTTCAATAACTTCATAGGCATGTGAAAGTTGGACAATGAATAAAGAAGACCATAGAAGAACTGATGCATTTGAGTTATGGTGTTGAAGGAGAATATTAAAAGTATCACCGACTATCAGAAGAACAAATAAATCTGTGTTGGAAGAAGTACAGACGAATGTTCCTTTGAAGCCAGGATGGCAAGACTTCATCACTCATACTTCAGACATTCTATAAGGAAGGACCAGTCCCTGGAGAAGAATATTATGCCTTTTAAAGTGAAGGGTCAGTGAAAAAGAGGAAGACCCCCCCCCCCCAATAAGAAAGACTGGCACAATGGTAGCAGCTATGGGCTCAAGCTTAACAATTGTGAGGATGGCACAGGACTGGGTCAGTGTTTCGTTCTGTTTCACATAGGGTTGCTATGAGTCAGGGCCAACTTGATAGTGCCTAAGAACCACAATAAACCTTCATGTGCTCATCTGGTCTTTAATTATGCTTTCCCATAAGAAAGATCTAGTAAAGGAGCCCTGGTGGCACAGGGGTTAAATGTTTGGCTGCTAATGAAATGTCGGTGGTTGAAACCCTCTCTGCATCTAGATACATATTTTTTAATGAGTTTGATCTATGTAGCTTTCACTTGTATTGTCTAGTAGAACTATGCTAGCCTCAAAGGAAATGCTGGGACGTTTCCCATCATTCTATTTAGAATAGTTTAAATGACTTAAAGATTCTCTCTTATATTCAAGTAAAACCATCTCTACCACGTGACTTTTGAGGAAGTGGTTGAGTTGTAGATCTTTGATGATATATTCAAATTCTATACCCTAGTGCCTTTAGAGGAACCCAGGTGGTGCAAGTTAAAAATCAGTGATTCAAACCCACCCGTGACTCTGTGGGAGAAAAGATCTGGCACTCTGCTCTGGTAAAGATTACAGCCTAGCACTGTTTTACCTCCTAGTTCATTACATAGTGACTGGGGTCTTAAAAAGATTGCAGGTGGCTACCCAAGGCACAACATTTGGACTCTATTCACCTGAAGCAATAGAAGAAGTAAGTCAGGAAAGGAAGTGTGGCTAATTCCATGAACAACTGCCTCCTTTGCCATGTTGTTGTTAAGTACCATAGAGTTGGTTCTGACTCACGGCAAGTCTGTATAGGGTTTCTGAGAAGCAGCTGGTGAGTCTGAACCACTGAACTTGTGGTTAGCAGTTCAGTGCTTATCCTATCAGGACTCCATGAGACCAGAACTGGATGGTGCCCAACTACCATTATTGAACATGTTGATCTATAGAAAATCCTGATAAAAAGGGCAGAAATGTAAAACAGAATTTCAAATTCTCATGAAATCAGCCTTTCTAAAATCACATAGACTAAATGTATCCCTGAAACTATTTCCATGAGGTCATCCTTAAAACTGAAACCAAAAATATCCCCTGAAGTCTTCTTAAAACCAAACAGGTGTTTAGCTCAATTAGTAAAGAATGTTTCCCTTGAGCACTGTGCTCTTTTAAGGCCTATATACATGAGTCAGAATCCACATCGGTAGTAGGTGTGGTTTGGGGATATTGACTCAAATGGCCAATAGCACCTTAAAATATTAAGTAGGACACTAAGGGTCAGGGAGTTTTTGCTAATGGGGGAGGAATAATTTGGAGAGGAGGATGAGAATGGTTGTACAACTTGAAGAATGCAATCAATGTTACTGAATTATATATGTAGAAATTAATTAATTGTGTATGTTCTACTATATATATTCTCAACAACAACAAAAATAAAATAAATGATATATTTTTTAAAAGATTATAGCCTAAGGAGCCATGTGGGGCAATGAATGAACCCAACGGCAATGAGTTTGATTTAATTGGTTTAATTGCATTTTAAGTCTAGAAAATTATCACATTTCTTTGTAAGATACTTTGTGTCTTACAATCAATCAAGAAATAGTCTCATAGGTACTGAAAACATATCTTGATTGACTGAAACATTTCCGTTGATAAGTTTGCCCTCAAAGCACACTTCTTACTTCAACACTTAAAGTGGTAATTTTTGAAAAATAGTAGAACATTAAAATAAAATTGTCATATGGGAAACCTATAAGTCTGTGACCCTTCCCCTGGGACTCTTAAAAAGAAATGGCTATGAAAGGTCACATGCTTATACAGTGGCTAAGGAGCTCTGGTAGTGTAGTGGTTACGAATCGGGCTTTGAACCGCAAGGTCAGCAGTTCTAAACTACCAGCTGCTCCGCGGGAGAAAGATGAGGCTTTCTGCTCCCGTGAAGATTTACAGCCTCGGAAACCCTGTACAGGGTCGCTATGGGTCAGAACCGACTCAATAGCATTTAACAACAACAACAACAACATGGTAGAAGATCTCTGTTAAGACTTTGAATACTGCCCAATAGAACTTTTGGCAATGATGGACCTGTTCTATATCCGTACTGTCCAATATGGTAGTCACTGGGAATCCTGGTGTGGTGCTGTGGGTTAATGCTCTGGACTGCAAAGTCAGTGTGAACCGAAAGGTTGGTGGTTCAAGCTCACCAGCCACTCCTCAGAAACCCTATACAATAGGGTCACTATGGGTTGGAATTGACTGAACAGCACTTAACAACAACAACAACAGTTATATTAAGCTGCTGAGCATTTGAAATGTGGTTACTGCAACATGCATAAGGAACTGAATTGTTCATTTTATTTAATTTTAATTCATTTACATTTATTTATTCAAAAATTTTTATGTAAATTGGTTGAAGGTTTACAAAGCAAATCATTTTCCATTCAGCAATGCATACACATTTTGTTTCATGTCACTGATTGTTATCCCACAATGCATCACCACTCACCCCACTTCTACCCAGTGTTTCCCATTTCCATTTCCTCCTTTCTTAACCCTTTCTGCCTTCTGAACTTTGTGCATAGGCAAATGCTGTCCTTTTGATCTTGAATGATAATTTAAATTTTAAAAGCTACACCTGGTTGTTGTTGTTGTAAAGTGCTGTTGTCGGTTCTGACTCATAGTGACCCAGTATAGGGTTTCTAAGGACTAGCTGGTGGGTTTGAACTGTCAACCTCATGGTTCAACGTCTAGTGCTGATCTTACAGCACCACACCAGGAATCACCTGGTTAGTGGCTACCATAATGGCAGAGGCTTTGCTTGGGTGGTCTCCAATAAGAAAGGTCTAGATAAGATCTCTGGTGGTACAGTAGTTATGCATTTGGCTACTAACTGAAAGGTTAAGTGCTCAGCTGCTAACTGAAAGGTTGGAATCTACAGCTACTCCAGGGAAGAATGCTTTCCTTGGAAACTCTATGGGGTAATTCTACTCTGTTACATCACTATGTATTGGAATCAACTAAACAGCACGTAACAACAGCAGTAAAGAAGGGTCTAGTAAAGGACGAAAATGTTCTTGTTTATGGATTATAAAAATATTGGTAAGTTAGCTTTTTTGATGTATAAGAAGGGTCACCAGCATCTAGCCCTGCTCTCTTTGATCATGAAGTGTTGCCTGTCCCTAGTGTATGTGAGTTGCCATGATCCTGGAGAAAGGGATGATACTTGGAGAACTTATCAAATCATTGTGAAAATACGTCTTTCAAAGTCATCTTTGTTACAGACCACTGCCTGTTATCTCTATAAGATAATCAACTCTTGGGTCAACAAAATCTCCCAAGGTTCTGCTTTCCCTTTTTTTGAACTAAACTTTGCCCCTAAAACCCGCTGCTACCGTGTGATAGAGCCTGGTAACAGTAACAATGGTAGTGGTGGTGGTGGTGGTGTGCCGTGCCACAGACTTTAGAAAGATGGTAGAAAAAGAAATATATGTAATGTAGCAACATGCTCAAATAAAAAGCTGACCAATAGGAGAATCACAAACAAATGGTGAAATAACTATTTTTATGCAGGGAAGAGAGAAATTTATGTCTCAAATTATTTTTTTTTCAATCAAGTAATAGCAGTATAAGCAAATCTTTAATAGATACAAAGGTTACTTTACTTCCCAGAAAACTTAAAAGAGGCTCCCAGTGAAGATACTTACATCCTAAAAGTTTTAAAGCCATTTGATGATTCTAATCTTGCATATCAGTTTGATTTAATAAAAAGAGGTGGGGGGGGGGGAGAACGAGAAGAAGGCAGTATAAAATTAACCTACCGAAGATGAAGTTGTCTGGTCGGAAAAGTTGACCGAAAGGCCCGGATCTCACACTGTCCATGGTTCCTGGCTCCAAATCCACCAGGATGGCCCTAGGCACGTACTTCTGAGCTGGATGAGAACACCATTAACACAAAGGTTATGTTGATTTCCAGAGTCTTCTACATGGTAAATTACTTCTCTCTATGAAGTCCCACCAGAGTCCTGGTGTGGCATTGTGGGTTAATGCGCCAGACTGCAAAGCCATTTGAACTGCAAGGTCGGCGGTTCAAGCTCACCAGCTGCTCCTGGGAAACCCTATACAGGGTCGCTATGGGTCGGAACCAACTTGACAGCACTTAACAACAACAAGAACAACAACAATCAAGTCCCACCAGACTGGAATGTGTATAAACTAAGGTTTTCAGAGGACAGTAACTTCTTAGGACCACAGCATTTTAACACTGGGAGGGTCCTTGGAGAACACTAGTCCACTACTGAATTATTCAGATGAGGAAACCAGCCCAGGGGTGAGAGGGCACAGAGTGGGTTGGGGAAGAAGCAAGATGAGAAAACAGGTCCCCTGACTTCCTGCCTACTGTATGTTCCAGTTCACTCTGACACCTCTTGACTGTCAGGCAGTTTTACTTTTTCAGTGTCATGGAAATAAATCATATTTGCTTCAGCAATTGCCATGGCATTCTTCTGGCACCTCTCTCACACACACACCTACCTGTATCCGAACTACAGTCTGAACACCTGTACAGGCATCACTACACTGTCTCTGTTTTCCTGAGAAACACTTATTTTAAAACAAGGTGTAGCATTTTCATTTCAATTGGGCAAGAAATTGTTCTGAGCCACCCAGTGAAGATAGGGTTAAATATGATCTATCCTGCTGTGAAATGAGAAAGGATGGCCAAACCTGACATGGAAGTTTTCCCAGTGTATCTAAAAATGTTATTGTCTATATCCTAATACACCAGGAGACTTTTTAATCTGCTTAATGAACAATAAACCAAACCCAGTGATTTATGTATGCATACTGCTCTCCCTAGCTCCTGAGCAGATAAACAGCAAGAGTCTGGAGAACTAAGGGAAAAAAACCCCAAAACTGACAAGAGTACATCTCTAGGGAATCTATGACAAACCTGTGGAAGGTAGGAAATTTTACTTTCTGTGTTTCTTTTCAATATTTCAGCTTGTTTTGTGACGGGCATGCCCCACTTTTAAAATAAAAATTGTTCCAGAAGTAATGTACTCAGGAGTGTTATTCCTAAACTTGGATAACCCACAGCCTGGAATTTTAACAAAACTCCCCTAGGTACCCAGAACTGTCTGTAGTTTCCGCTTCCAGGGCATGCGAGTATTTCTGGAGGTCTGCAAAGGACCATAAAAGTCGGATACACTTTCAAAACTTTTAACCAATAAAAGATATATTTCAAAGTGAAATAAAATGCCTGCTGAAATATGCACAGCTGTCGCTAAGGATCCTAGAGACGCCCTCTGATTTATACCTAAATTTTGTTTCATTCCATTCTTTAAAAACAAAAGATACTGGACACGACCCACTAAGTTGATTTCCCAACCCTAATGAGTTGTCTGATTCCAGAGCTCAGACTCGCGGGATAGGCTGGAACCCGCTGTTTGAAACAAACTGCCAGAGGATTTCCCGCCCCGAACGAGAGAGCTAGGGAGGAGCCCGCGGCCCGCTAGGAACTGGGCGAACTTTTCCTGGCTCCCCCCACCCTCCCCCAGCACAGGACAAGGGCCGGGCGGGGCCGGCAGTGCTACTCACACGATGACTCATTGTAGTAGACGCTGATCCTCTCCAGCTGCAGGGCCGAGTCACCCACATAGCCTCCGGCCGGGTCGATACCGTGTTCATCGCTGATCACTTCCCAAAACTATCGCAGGGCAGGGGGCGCAGAGACAGACTGTCAGATCTCGGGGTCTGCATCACCCATGCTTGGGCAGGCGGCGCGCGGGGAGGGGTTCCGAGGGCCTAGGGTGAGGAACGCTGGGTTCCCAGAGCCCTTGAAGCCAGAGGACTGGAGAATCCTGGAGCTGTTGGACTGGGAGATTGCAGGCGCGGGGCGGAGTTTCTGGGGGCTGCAGCTGCGACATTAAGGGCTGCTCGGTGCAAGTTCCGGGGCAGTGAAACTAGGGGTTCCGGGCTGGGCCGCCCCCTCGCCCTCCACGCCCCACTACCGACCCTTTTGGGGTTACCTTAAGACACACCGGGATTCGAAGGACGAGGTGCACAGACCGGCGTCTGAACCCTGGGCGAGCTACACCGCTCCCTCCTGCCCCCCGCTCTTGGCGCGTGGAAACGGCGACTCCAGGTTCGGCCCCACTCCCCACAATGCGGTAAAGAGAACCTGCCAGGCCCGGGACCCACCTTGGTGCCGATCTGGTTTCCGCACTGTCCCGCCTGGATGTGCACAATCTCCCTCATTGCGGGCGGCGTGCCGACTGCGTGTTCTAAGGTGAACTGGCTCTCGGGACGACAGCGGCGTCTGCGGTCGGACTCTCAGGACACTGACCGCCCGCGGAGCTGCCCGCCGCCCTCCCACCCCCGGCCGCGCGGGACCAATAGAGGCCCCGGGCCCCGCCCAGCGGTCCCCGGGTCCCTCCCTTCTGGGCCCTCCCTCCCCCCAAAGCGCCGGACCCTGAGCCTCCTTAGACTGTCGGGTAGTGGAACCTGAAAACGGGAGCGTGCTGTGCAGTGGAGGGAGCCATCCAAGGGGAATTGGACGAAGCCCTGCCCCGGGAGCCGGACAGAAAATGCAGCGGTCCCCAGGAGCATCCATCCGAGTGGGCCCCGGGTAGGGGCGGGAGTCGGAGTGGAGACTGTAACGATCAGGGGAGGAGATGGAGAATAGACGTTTCTTGCCGCCCACCTCCACTGCAGCCCCACTCTCCAGGAACACTAGACCCCAAGGGGTCGGGGACCGGAGGCCCGGGCACTCTCAGCGCCCGCGCTGCTGGACCAGTGATAGAGTCCGCTCCGAGCGGGTCTAGCTGAACTGGAGCCGCCATGAGGCTCGGGAGCACGGAGGCTTCCTGCAGGCCTGAGCTCCGCTTCCCGCCCGACTCCCGTGTCTTCTGTCCCAGTGCCGTCCTCCCACCCCGCGCAAGTCTTTGGATTTAAACCCAGAGGGAAGACGGGTTGGGGGACACGAAAGTGGCCTTTTTTAGGGTATTTGTCTCTGGCTAACCGGGAGAAAGATGAGGCGTTCTGCTCCCGTAAAGATTTACAGCCTCGGAAACCCTGTACAGGGTCGCTATGGGTCGGAACCGACTTGACGGCACTTAACAACAACTTCCTCCCCACGGAGGAGTTAATGTGTTAAAGCGCTATGGGTTAATGCGCGGGCCTGCAAAGTCGTTTGAACTGCAAGGTGGGAGGTTCTAGCTCACCAGCTACTCCCTGGAAACCCTATACAAGGGTTGCTATGGGTCGGAACCGACTCCACTGCACTTAACAACAACCTCCTCCCCCCTCAACTTAAACCCTGGGCGTCTGTTTCGCTATCCTCTTCCTCCTGCCCTCTCCTCGGGAAATGCACATTCAATTCCTTTTGACGGCTCCTAGTCATTTTCAATAGAATTTAGTGACAATGAGCACTGGATGGATCTGAAATGGGCACCCCTTGCTACCCTCACTTTTCTTACTGTTCTACATTTCTGCGGTTTCGAGAGGGTGTGGGGTGTGCAGGTAAAAGGAGCCGAAAAGGAAAGCACGTCCCTCTTGTCTTGGCGTCCAGAGTTCCCTGCGGACGAAACCAAGCGCAGAACTCTGGTTTCTGAAACTGTCTGTTAGGCAAAGTGTGACTATGTTTATTCAGTGAAATGGTTCCCGGTCTGTATCTGCAGGCTTGACCTCCCATTTCCAGTGTTTGCTGGATTTCGCCCCCTGGAAACCCGTTCCCAATCAGCCCTTCCAACCAGGTAAACTAAATCCCGGATTTGCTGGGCGCTAGTCCCAAGTTGTTCAAGTTCTGCCTCCCCCACCCCCCTCAGTTGTCCTCACTTCACTATGGGGGCTGTTTGCCTCTCACAGGCAGGGATTTGCCACTGCCAGCCTTTCTATATGGTGCCCACCTGGAATGCTAATTGACTAATTTACACGCTAACGTGTTTTGCACACCTAGGCGGTACCGAATCGATGGCACCTAACAACAACAACAAATGTAGGCCACGTGTAAATCAGGGTTCGAGAAAAGGAATGACCATTGGAGCCAGGCCAGCTCGATTTTTAATTCTGGTTCTTTCCAACGAACCCTTTGTTAACTCAAATGCTCTGGCCTTCAGTTTACTCATCCATACAATGAAGTGGGTATCCTAGAACCGTTCAAGCTGAAACCTTCACTACCTATAGCCTCCATGTTGAATGTGAACACTTCTGGTAAGGAGCCTGGTGGAAAGCCGGTAGTAGTGGTAGAGCAGCATCATCACCCGCAGCCCTTCCCAGGGCACGTGGGAATGTCATGCAATGAGAGAATGATGTGTTGTTCTGTGATCTGCCCCATGTTTTGTTTTTAGATATGTGAAAACTTTGGAGGGAAAGCCTGAAATATTTGTGAATGTTATTGGCGCTGCGGATTAATGCGCTGGACTGCAAGGTCACTTTAAGCTCACCAGCCACTCCTTGGACACCCTAAACAGGATAGCTACAAGCTGGAACCAACTCGATGACACTTAACAACAACAACAACGGCATTGGAAGGGAATGGAAGACTTAATCCTCCGCCTGGAGTTATTTTTTTTTCTCCTTTTCAGTTTTAGGGAATCAGTTTCAGACCACTGGAGCCATGCCTCACCCTACCACAATGTTACTTTTTTTCTCTCTTCAGCCCTCTCTTTGGGCTGTTTGTTGCATTTGCTCACTTTAATTACTGATTCCACGTAATCATTGTATTGCATCGGTCTGACAAGTGCTGCAGTTGGATTTTTGTTACTGTTGTTATGTGCCGTGGAGTCGGTTCCGATTCATAGCGACCCTGTACAGGGTTTCCGAGGCTGTAAATCTTTAAGGGAGCAGAAAGCCTTATCTTTCTCCCGTGGAACAGCTGGTAGTTTAGAACTGCTGACCGTGAGATTAGCGGCCCAATTCTTAACTACTACGCTAAAGGAGCAAGGAGCTCTGGTAGTGTAGTGGTTACGAATAGGGCTGCGAACCTCAGGGTCAGCAGTTCGAAACTACAGCTGTTCCGCGGGAAAAAGATGAGGCTTTCTGCTCCTGTAAAGATTTACAGCCTCGGAAACCCTGTACAGGGTGGCTATGAATCGGAACCGACTCCATGGCACATAGCAACAACAAGTCGGATGGGGATGGGCACAGGGAGTGTCCCAGGCAGTTCGTTGGAAAAGTCTTTCCTTCAACTTCGACTCTCCATCTGTGATTAAGGTTTTGTGTCAACTTGACTGGGCCAGGATTCTTGTTGAACTGCAGATCTTACATGATGAGATCTGCTATGAGCAGTCAATCAACTGAAAGGTAGTGGGAGTGTGGACTACTTATCATATATTAAAGACTCTGACAAAGCTTGCTAGCTTTTTTCTGTATCACATTCAACCTTCAGTTCTTTGCACTTGAGTCAGTGACTTACTCTATTGCTTGCCCATCTGGGGAGTCATCAGCAGTCTGTCATCTTATCTGCCTGACCTGCCTGCCATCTGACCTGCCAATCTTGGGTTCATCAGACCTGCAACTATGTATATTAGAAGTTTCCTGCCTGGCATCTGACCCATGGACTTGGAACTTTGCCATCTCTACAACTGTGTGAGCTATTTCCTTGGTATAAATCTCTCTTTATATATACATATATAAGATTCAGTAGTTATGCTTCTCTAGAGAACCTAGCCAAAGACAAAGGCCTACATGAAAAAAGAAGACCTCAAATCAACAACCTAATTCAACAGCTTGAAGAACTAGAAAGAGAAGAGCAAACTAAGCCTAAACGTACCAGAATAAGGAAATAATAAAGATCAGAGCATCAATAATGAAATAAAAAACAGAAAAATAATAGAGTGAATTAACAAAGCCAGAGAAGGTGACCCTCCACCTTACCAAACATGATATCTTTCTCCAGTGACTGGTCCCTCCTGACAATATGTCCGAAGTATGAGAGACAAAGTTTGGCCATCTTGGTCTCCAAGGAGCACTCTGGCTGCACTTCTTCCAACACAGATCTGTAATATTCTTCTCCAACACCATAACTCAAAAGCATCAATTCTTCTATGGTCTTCCTTATTACTGCCCAGCTTTTGCATGCATGTGAGGTTACTGAAAATACCATGGCTTGGGTCAGGCGCACCTTAGTCCTCAAGCTGACATCTTTGCTCTTCAACACTTTCAAAAGGTCTTGTGAAGCAGATTTGCCTAATGCAATATATACTCTGATTTCTTGACTACTGCTTCCATGAGTATTGATAGTTGATCCAAGAAGAATGAAGTCCTTGACAACTTCCATCTTTTCTCCATTGATAAGAATATTGTTTATTGGTCCAGTGGTGAGAATTTTTGTTTTCTTTACATTGAGATGTAATCTATACTGAAGGCTGTGCTCTTTGATCTTCATCAGTAAATGTTTTAAGTCCTCTTCACTTTCAGCTAGCAAGGTTGTATCATCAGCATATCGCAGATTATTAATGAGTCTTCCTCCAATCCTGATGCTATATTTTTCTTCATATAACTCAGCTTCTCAGATTATTTTCTCAGCATACAGGTTGAATAAGTATGGAGAAAGAATACAATCCTGTCACACACCTTTCTTAATTTTAAACCATTCAGTGTTCCCATGTTCTGTTTGAACTACTGCCTCTTGGTCCATGTACAGATTCCTTATGAGCACAATTAAGTGTGCCAGAATACTCATACTTCTCAATGTTGTCCATAGTTTGTCATGAGCCACACAATCGAAAGCCTTTGCATAGTCAATAAAATACATGTCAACATCTTTCTGATATTCTCTGCTTTCAGCCAAGATCCATCGAACTTCAACAATGATGATCCTCGTTCCATGGCTTCTTCTGAATTCAGCTTGAACCTCTGAAATCTTCAGTTTGTCATTCCCGGCATAATAAACCATGTGGTTATCAGATTCAAAATGGCCAATACCAGTCCATTTCAGCTCACTAATGCCTAAGAGATCGATGTTTATGCATTCCATTTCATTTTTGACAATTTCTAATTTTCCTAGATTCATACTTTGTATATTCCATGTTCTGATTTTCAATGGATGTTTACAGCTGTTTCTCTTCATTTTGAATGAAGAGCAAATGAAGGTCTCATGGGCTTTACTCCATTTGCGTCATCGTGGTCAAATCTACTTTGAGGAGGCAGCTCTTCCCCAGTCGCATTTTGAGTACCTTCAAACCTGAGGGGCTCATTTTCTGGCACTATATCTGACAGTGTTTCTCTGCTATTCATAAGGTTTTCAGTGACTAAAT